TGCAAAATATTCATTCTTTTAACTCACATGTGAAGTTGACCTACACTGTCGACATGACACCAGGAAAATGAATCAGATTATTTTATGGGTAACTATTGATAGTGTACTTAATGAACTTTCCACACTGATCACTGAAGCTCATTGTCTTTTCATGAACATTTATTAAAGCACACTTTAAAATGTTCAGCCTAAAATCAAATGAGTAGAAATGTAACAGGGAAAAACTGTAATAAAAGCTACAACTTTCTTTATCTACAAGGGGAATTCAGCAGTATCTTATAGAGTTTAAAGTTTTTTGGAGAAAAGGACTTTGTTTGAAATTACATGAATGGCATTTTAAATGTGATGTATACACAAAGACAGCTGTGAAAAAGCAACATGTACCAGGAAGTAAAGTCAAACCAACCCTTATATTACAGCAGATACTATCTCAAAGTGCTCATAAACTCATCCGATTAGAGATAAAAGAAAATGAGGTCAAGGACAGTGGTGAAGCAACATCACAGTCGATTTATCAGAGCTTTGCTATAGCAGTATAGCAGAGGACAGACAGCACAGGTTGAATTCAGAAACCCTCGGGTTCTGGTATTAAACGTTTTGTGTCTTTTCCACGAGGGAGAGAGTTCAAATACATGTGAGGTACAACTGACACTTCAGAGCTGAAATGAAGTCTGCAGGGCTGCTAAACCAAAGCCTGCAGCATCGGTACGAGGCAGACTGTAGAGCTGCTGATAATGAACATCAACTAAGAAAGTACTTTCCCTGAATAACTGATTAAATCTTTCAATTGTTCGTCTTATAACCATAGATTAAAATTTAAATCTATTTCTGAGATATTATAACTTTATTTTGGCCATGTCTCTTTTGTACATCCCTCTAATTTCGCACTGGTAAATACAATACAAGTAATTTAGCTACAACAATTTTGTAATCAAATAGACTTTCAGGAACAAGAACAAAAAGAAGAATATCAGGTCAGCCCTCAAATGAATCCATAATAACTTCTTTCAACTGTTGAGCATCTCTTGAATTTCCCCCCCGTCTCTTTTGTGCGCTCTCTTTGGCAAGCATCGCGCTGCTCTCCGATGATCTTTGTCTCCCTGCGCTCAATTAAGTAAATGAACACCAGTTACTCTGTCACACACTTCACAAGCAGCTCTCTAATTAACGCTCATACAGTCCGTGTCATTGAAACTCAGTGAATGACATGACCAGAATTTCACCGAGTAGGTGGGGAAGAAGTGTTTTGGAATAAAAAGGGTGGCTGCAGATTACAATAGAAAAGAGTCGTCAACGTTTTCTTCCGCTTCATCCAGGTCCGGGTCGCGGGGGCAGCAGCTTCAGGATGGAAGCCCAGACGGCCCTCACCCCAGCCACTTCCACCCGCTCCTCTGGGGGGATTCCAAGGCACTCCCGGGCCAGGCGAGAGATATAATCCCTCCACCTGGTCCTGGGCCGGCCAAGAGGTCTCCTCCCGGTGGGACATATCTGGAACACCTCTAACGCGAGGCGTCCAGAAGGCATCCTAACCAGATGCCTGAGCCACCTCAGCTGACTCCTCTTGACATGGAGGAGCAGTGGTTCTACTTTGAGCGCCTCCCGAGTGTCCGAGCTCCTTACCCTATCTCTAAGGCTGAGCCCGGCCACCCTGCGAACGGAACCCATTTCGGCCGCTTGTATCTGCGATCTTGTTCTTTCGGTCATTACCCAAAGTTCTTGGCCATAGGTGAGGATCGGCACGTCGATCGACCGGTAAATCGAGTCTCGCCTTACGGTTCAGCTCTTTCTTCACCACGACTGATCGGTTAAGCTGATGCTGCTCCGATCCGCCTATCAATCTCGCGTTCCATCCTACCCTCACTCGTGAACAAGATCCCAAGATACTTGAACTCCTCCACTTGAGGCAGGACTGCCCCTCCGACCTGGAGAAGGCAATCTACCTTTTTCCAACTGAGGACCAAGGCCTCAGAAAAGAGTTTTAAATATATTTCCAGATGTTTGACTTTATTCTGTGTGTTTAGTTGTCAGATATATCAGAAGTATGTATTTAACTTCATATCCCACACAAAAAACATACTTGCAGACACTTTTTTATCTGGTATGATGGGATAATCTGATGCCACAAGAACTGAGAATTTGCACTTGACACTTTCAACGAGTTCAGCGGTTGTTTACTGTTTTTACTCATCTAATTTACAGAGTAGGGTAAACACAGCCGTCGAGCAAAAATGACACGACATAGATTAAACATGTTGCTGCGTAACTGTGCCAGCACAACAAAGAAAGAATACAGTATCCAAGAAAGAAGTTGGCTTTTTAATGTATTTCTGGACAGTGATGCAGTTCTGCACCTGGAAGGCTTAAGCACTTGATAACAGCTGTCAGTAGGATTAATAGGAGGGTTAAGGGGATATATTCTGTGTTTATTTTGGTCTCTCATGGTATTGTCTGATAGTAATAACAAGACAGGAAATAATGATAGCTTTACCTCTTTGCCAAACTCACAAAAGCACACAAGCTTTTTGTGTGATAAATCATTTTGTTGGTGAAGAAAAACGGCTCTACAGCTACTTTGGATACATGATAAATTCCTCCTTTTTTCCAAACTGAACTCTGTTGTCACATTCAGGCCATTTGTCGATGCAAAGCAGTCTTGTAAACCGTTTTACTTCTCCCAGAGAGTGACTGAAGAAGAAATGACTCACTTATGACCCAGCAGTTTATCCTTTTGGAGAGCATTTGTATGAGGAACTTGTCAATAGAGAGTGTATTATTCAAGGTTGGCACGGCTCTTTTATTGAGAAACTGAATGGAGAGAACCTGTCCAGAAGCAAGAACAGCAAGGAGCAATTTAGAATATAATTAAGCTACTTTTGATCAAGTTAACAAAGAGATCTCAAGTTATCTGGTGGTGCAGGTGTGTAAACTTTGAGGCTGTGAACCCAGAGAGCGACTGCTGTCTCAAGTCAAACTTGCTGATGATAGCACTTAAAGACCCTTCTGAATCAGAGGATAACAGCAGCTCACATATGGCTGCTGTCTGCATCACTCACCATCCTCACTTCCCACTGCTGTTACAGCGACTGTTTACAATATTTGGAAGTAGAATCAGCAAACCAAGAAAAACAGAAAAGGACATTTCTTTAGCAATTAAGCCAAACTGGAAAGCTCTAATGTAGAAAATTACAATATCACAATCAGCTGATCAACACGTATATGATGCATTCAGGCGTACAGCAAGAGCATGACTTTTTTTTACTGCAAGGTCAGCCGCAGTTTCTTTATATTACCTGAATAACATGATAGAGCTGGCCCTGTCTGCAGCAGCTGTTAGCCAAGCTTCTGTATCGGAATGTAGGTCAAGCTAACTGGTATCTCTTGCTGATAATTCCCTCACTATTGACAAGTACCAGAGATGTGACGTTCACGAATGAGTCAGTCATTTGAACGGCTCATTTAAGTAAACAATGAGAACCGCTTCACACAGGTTAGCCACTCGTTTTCAAGCTGTTGTTGTATGCAAATTGCTAACGCTGCCTTTGTGTGCCAAACACCCAAACACCAGGTAGGGTAGTTCAATTTTGCTTTCACATTTTTATTACATCTTAATTTTTATCAGTTATCTGTGGCTTGTGTAGTTTTTATCGTGCAACTAAGTTTTTTAGGTGAGGCAAAAATTAAAACTCGTGATCTCACTGTCAAATCATGAGGATATGGCACCACCTTATGGATGTTTACAATGAAAACACAAGCCAAATGAAATTAAAATCAATATTTCTGATTAATTCCCACCCATATGAAAAATAAATAAATCTAGCGATGACTTACGGGCAATTTCCACCGCATCCGGAACGGCAACAAAAAGGTTGTATCCGCTGATCGTAGCCGATCGTAACCATTCAAGTCAATGTGTCAATTTCCACCGGCTTCTTTCTGTTCCGCTGTGGATCACTGGACTCCACAGCTGATGGCAAGAGTTCTAGTTTTTCCGGACGCCGGAGCATGCCAGATAAATTCAGCACAGATTAACCTGCTGTCCGTAATCCGCCACAAAATTCGCCTCACAAATGGATTCGATGGGATTGGATTTGGCGTACGGCGAAAATCAGAGCCGTTCTGTATGCAGTGAAAATCCGGGGTCAATCTTTCGGCTTCTCAAGATCCAGCTCCCTTCAAAGTGCTGTAAATCCCATCTCTAAACAAGTACCTCATATAACCACACCTTAAAAAACTGATCTGTCCCTTTAATACTATTTCTGCCTTTTTTGACAAGAGTGTGTCTTTTATTGTATTTTAACTCGCTGCCTATGATTTCCGAGTCTGATTAAAAATGAATCATTCAAAAGGACACATGTAGTCCTTGACTTGAGAGAAAGATTCTGAGTCATTGCAGATTACAGCATTTCCCCTGAGGCGACCTCCATTCATTGTCCAACAATGACCAACCCTTATGGGAAAAAATCTATACAATAGTGGTCTTCAGTGTAATCATGCAATAGAAAGCTGCTGCAAGACATGAAAGACAGTCATACAAGTATCTGCTTGTTGCAGCTTTTTGAGATTTCTGATCAAGCCTTATCTTGCCCATCTTCTCCTTTCACTTTCTCTCTTTCTCTCCCTCTAACAAACACTCGTTCACCCACAGGACACACCTCTGTCTTCCTCGTTGTCGTCCAGGTTCCACACCCTTGGCAGTTATAAGCTCATAACCTACATTCAATTCCCTCTTTACTATTTTGTAATCATTAACATTCTTCACTCAGGGCCAAGTCTGAAGGATTATTTGAGTGCGCTAAAGCACCTTCGGGAAGCAGAGTGCAAACATCGAAGGAGAGCTGAGGAGAAGCAGACATCCCTCTGAGGTGAGTTTCGATCAAAGACAGACTTTACAGACATGCTGGTGTGTAAATATATGAATCTGGAGCTAAATTAAAATCACTCAGATCTGATTTTATAAACGGCTCGTTTATCTTTTTCAGAGAAACATAAAAAATGTGACAATGGGATTCTCAGCACTGCATTTACTTCTCTGGCTTCTGGCTACAGTCACTCTCACAACACAAGGTTTGATGGACTTTTTAAAACTCAAATAAATGAGCTTTAGCTGGAGTCAATACTGCACTTAATGTTTTGAGCTTCAAGTGTGAAGGTAAAAAATCTAACTTTTTGTGTATCTTTGTCTGCAGAGTTGTTGACAATAAGAGTGACTCCCAAGATTGTAGCAGCGTGTGGTCAGCAGGTTAAGCTTGACTGCGAGGTGACTTCATCTCAACATGGGCTGTCAATCAAACATATTGAGTGGTATCAAAACAATACCTCCTTATGTAGGATAAATAGTGAGGAGGTGATTACCACATACCACAGGCACACTGTAAGTGACTTCCATTGTGAGTATCAACGTGGAAAACTGTCAATCATCTTTAAGGAAATGAAGCCAATGGACAGCGGCGACTCAAAGCCCTTTGGGTGTAACATACGATCCAACAAAGGAGTTAAGGACAAAAGCACCACAGTGGACTTACAAGGTCAGAGTCCAGATTTGTTTAAGTTGAACAAACAGACCGCTTTGTTCTGTCTATATACCTGCCGCCATGACTAGCTGATTGTCTTTGGCTGTTTTCCTAGTTGGCACAAATATCCACTTTTTTAAGTTAAAGGTGTCCTCGATAATCAAACAGATCATGTTTCTCAATAGATAGCTGTGTTTGTTTTTAATGGTCCCGCAGTGAGTAAATGTAAGTCTATTCACATCTACAAAAGAGGCTAACGTGCTTTAATGGGAAAAAAACAAAGACTTTTTCATTTCACTTGGTGTTCATGGGTAGAGAGTAAAACCAACGGCAGTACTTGTACATTTGTCTTCATGGCGATTCAGTACACATAACTTTCCTAACTCTTACTACTTAAATGAAAATTCTATCTTAATGTTCTATCTTATTGAAAAGTACAATTCCTGTTAACATCAAACTCAACTAATAAATCAAAAATCTATATGGATTGGCAATGAGATGGCAATCAACCAAGGATAAAAGAGAAACCATTTCTTTGCAAATGTTTGTAAGTTTTTTCGGTGCAGACTCTTTTGCAGAAGTTGTTTATTCAGAGCAACCAATCAGAAGACACTTCCTGTAAAATTAAACAACTGTAGCTTAATATGCAAAATAATAACATGCAAAGTAACCAATGAAAGGCAAAAACCTTTTTTATCTGTACAACTGAGTGGGATAGGTTACAGACTACTCTATTTACATTAGGGCTGGGCGATATGGCCTCAAATCAATATCACGATATATTGATCAGTTCACCTCGATAACGATAAATGGACGATAACTACTCCACAAGCTCCTAAACCCACTCACATTAACTTCGTCTACTTCAGCCGCTACAACTTTTGAACTGTCCTCCATCTCCTCACCTGTCTTTCCCTCTTTGTTATTGACTGGATGGGGTGGAGTCACGTCTCTGATGTAGGACAGCGTCTTAAAGGGACATGAAAGCATAGCCTACCTACACACATCCAAAACCAACTTCTATTTATTTTTTTGACACCGAATATATGGAAACAGGCAAAATGACGTTGGTTATTGTTGTAAATTTTTGTATCGGTAAATTTTCAGTTTATTGCCCAGCCCTAATTTGCATTACAGTATTTGAGTAAAGTCTTCACTTTGTTTCCTTTGTGTTTTTCCTTTGCTTTGTGTTTGATAAAGATTATAACAGAGTGCAGGCTTTTGATGGTTTCATTTGATAAATAGGAACGTTTTGGATAAAGAGTCCCACTCAAAGTGCCTCCTCTGGTTTTTCTTTCAGAGTGCTGTGGACACGTTGAGGGTGTCATGAAAGATGGCCGTCCAGACTGTACCTTCACTCGTGTCTACCCTGATGGAGAGGTGCACTGGTTTCACGGCTCCCACCGTCTTCATGGACACCACACTGGAAAACGTGTTGAAGACGGGGGTTGGCTGACTATCAACAGTTACCTGGAGAGGAAAACTTCAGAGGTGCCTTACAACTGTTCCCTGTGGAGCCCCAAAACAGGAACCTACATAGCCAGCACTCTGATCAAGAAGCGGCCGAAAACAAATCCCCTCCTTGGGAATGGAGCTGGATCATATGAGCCTGCGTGGACATTCGGGTTTGTCGCAGTCTTACTTGTTGTCTCACTGAAATAAGAAATCACGCCCAAATCATGGAGCATAATCAGGATTAAGCTATAATGCACATAAATTTCAAATAATAAGGAACTGTGAGGTACAGACTCATTTTTTTTCCAGTTGGCAGTGCCACTCCTTGATAGATGAGTCATCTTGCACAGCCCAAAGGTTGATTCTTTGCTTTTACTTGGAAGCAAACAAGGAAATCACGGACTATTAAAAAGCTAGCGATCACTGCATTGTTAAAAAAAGAAACACTGAATCATGTGATACGGTTTACAAATCCATGTATATGCAACGGTATGTTCATCTCTAAAGGAAGTGAGACGCAAATAAGCCTTAAATAGAAAAGGGGGGAAAAAAAGCTGCGCGATACGTTTCCCAGAAGAGTCACACTGAGAGAAAAACTTCCCCGTTTGAACAAAATGAAGCTCTTTTCCTTGAATTCCCCCAAAATACTGAAGTCTTTGTGTGCAAAACATCAAAAAGCTGCAGAGAGAGAACCTCAGTCATGCAACGGGTTTCTGTGTTGTTTGAGGATGTCTGCTGCCCCCTGGTGAAAAAGCTGTGATCAGACTAATGGTGATGCTTCTGCTGTCTGACTCCCTGTTTCAGACACAGAGGATGGAGCATAAAAATTGTATTAAGTAGGCTGGTTTTGCATAATAAACGAGCTTTGTCCGGTGGTGTTTGTCCATGCATGAAAACATCTGGGTTTACCTGTTGAGATTTTCTCTTTCCTTGAGCTGTAAAGTGCGATGCATGCAATGGTTTGATTCTTGTGCTTTTCTTATGTGGAAAATAGCTTTAAGGGAAACTCTGTGATTCGCTGTATGACCCTGGTCAGAAACTAATGCTTATGTGTTTTGAAATCCTTTTTATATATGAAATTTTACAGTTGTTGTACAGAAATGAGATCGTGTGTAATTTGTTTTGTATGGTGATTTATAAGTCTGTATGTTTTGTCTCTTTCAAAATAAAACTAACCTGCATTCAGTGTTTCAGCTGAAGCAGGAGTGTGAGATTGGGGGTGCGTTAAAGCGCATTAGCTCCTGTTTTATACTTTAACTTGTCTTCTCTCTCTCCTCACTCGAGCCTTTGCAGGTAAAGTTAGAAGTACAAGGCAAAAACTCTGCCATTAGCGCCTCGATGCTTGTTTTTTCTGACAGGACGTTTAAGAGCTTTAAAAGTCAGAGCGGCGCTGCGCTAATGGTGTCACTAAATCGGTGTCGTGCAGGGACAGGTCGAACTCTGAGCAAGATTTCGCTGCAGCTAAGAGCTCACAGTGTAAACAAATACAAGGTCGCCTTGACCAGTCCAGTGCACATGGATGCATCTCGATAGAAAGCTGACTAAAGCACTCCCATAGGCACTTACAAACACATACCTACACTTGATCCAGGTAGGTGGAGAATTTGAATATTGAAATATTGAATATGTATGTTAGTGGAGTCTTATAAGTAATATCCATTTATTGGGCCTAAACCTCCTGTTATCATCATTCTATTCATGATGCTGTCAAGGAAAAAATTATCAATATATTAAAATACACATATAATAATGTTCTCAAACTTGTAATTCAGACTCATCTGAATCACAATGTGCCACAAAATCATCTACTATGACTTTTCAGTGTTTAAAAACACATTCATACTTGAAGTTCTTGATTTTTCTAGTAGATGAGAAATGTTTCTTACCAGCTGGATCCTAAATAAACGTTTTTTTTCTTCCTTTATTTTTGTATTTGAATGTTTGTATTTGTTAAAGTTGTGACTGATACACTTGGCTGACACTGACCTCTATGAGAAGTGTGACCATTTGGAAACATTTGGGTCAGAAAATTCAACTGCAGACCTTGGTGCAAAAGTAGGGAATAGCAAGAGGATGAAATACAGAGGGGTTAAAAGAAGGACTAGAGTATTTGTGTTTCAAACTAAATGAAGTAAAAGCAGGATGCAACTTCCATGGGGGCAAGAAGAAAAGTAAGCATAGAAAAATATTAAAGTAATGGAGATCTGCTTTCTCACTGCCCATCTGCATGAATGGCCTGCACTTTAAACTCTGTCCAGTAGGCCTAAGTACGGCTTAAACCAGGCATGTCATGTCAAGGCCACATTCAGGCATGCAAGATGATTTCATGTGTCTGTTATAAATGGCTCGCAGGTAAAAGCACTCCCACCACTTATACTACGATTCCCACAATGCAATGCAACAGCTGCCATTCGGGTTAACACCTGTGCATTAACCTCTTCTTCTTCTTCTGCTGTAATGACACACGGGTGGATAAATACATTTGAGTTAGCCCCTAAAAGACACGACCGAATGAACACTAGTCTTTGAAAACAGAGACTTTCAAAACAGATGACATTGGAGATAAACCTGTGCGTCTTGTTTGTGGAGCTAATCTGACTGTAATAAAAGTATATCATTAGATGTCACTGTGAGATAAAACATTGATTTTATGAGTCACAGAGAGCTTTCCAGGTCAAGCCGCACCTGTGGGAGATGCAGATGCACAAAGGGAACTTAAGGTCACTTTGAATGTTGGCAAAAAAAAAAAATCACAAACCAGGTCTCCGCAGCTGTGTTTCCAGCCACTCATTCAGCTGATAAACTGAGCTCTGAGTTCACACGGCGCTTTGCCAACTTGGAAGCACAGAAATGTAATTTTGAACTGCTCAGAAATCCATTTAGAGCTGAGGTGGAGAAAGCTCATGTAAACATGCTGATGGAGCTGATAGAACTGCAGTGTAACGGCACATTCAGGGTACAGTATGACTCTGTGGGGCACACACAGTTCCCACACCCCATTCCTTACACAACGCCAATGCAGAGAGAACCAAAATGGCTTTTATTTATTATTTTTTTAAAGTTTTGCACTTTTTTCCTAAAATCACATCACTCCTTATAGATAGATAGATAGATAGATAGATAGATAGATAGATAGATAGATAGATAGATAGATAGATAGATAGACCTTATTGATCCCCAAAAAATAAAATATAAGAAGTATGTACAATACAGACTAAATATACTAAATATATACAATAAATACAGACTAAATAAACTAAACATCCTTAAGAGAAAAAAATGAGATATGAAAAAAGTGGGCTATCCACTGGTAGTACTAATATGAAATGAGTAATAAATATGAAATGCAAAATATACATGTGGGATAATAAATAAACAAACAATTTAAGGTGCTCAGATGCTGTATTTTATTTTCATGTAGTACATCTCACTAACCTTATATTTGTTGTACTAACTTTCTCCTGCTCTATGATGTCGCCTCTGCCAACCTCACTGGACAAACAGTTGATTTTTTTTTTTCCATTATCATAGATTTGACTTTATATTAACAATTTATTTGAAAAACTCAATACTTGGTAACTGAGCCGATATGATATATCACCAGACCAAATATCCCAATACTCCCAATACTACACTGTATCGATTTTTTCTCCCACCCCTAATGGCTGTATGACTGTTTTCAGACTTAACAAAATTCATTCATTGTTTGGAAATGTCCTGTTTTTCCCCACAAATCATTCATTTAGTAAAAGAAATGAGCTTACCCAAAAAGTGGATAAATACTTGTGTAAACTGCAGATACTTAAAAACACAATGAAGTACAGTAACCCACTGAACTTGCATTACTTTTCACAGCTGATATTAGGAGACTCTTTGTTACTCTATCAAGTCCGGATGTCATACCCTTGTGTAGCCAAGCTCCAAAGTGAATTCTTAATTCAAACAGGAATAAAACAAAATCCCCTCAATTTTAGTTTGCAATAAGTTTTTGAGGTTTCTAAATTTTAATATGCTGTCAGTCTTGTTAGCAGTGTTTTAGATGTAGAAGTGTAAATGTTTCTCAGACAGCAAACCCAGTCTGCTCCTCTCTTTGTACATGTAGTGTACTCATGTGACCACAAGATGGAAGAAGTAACACACACCTCAGCTCTACTCTGAGCAAACATGAACAATTCGCTCTCCAGGGTCCACAGGCTGTTGGGTTTTACAGGGTCAGATCATGGATGAGTGATCTCAGACAGCCTGCCACAAATGGTTTGCTGTGTTACAAAGTTTGGAGCAAAAATCTGCAATCAAGTTTAGCATTAAAATATCCGTCTGGACTAACGTGCTTTTAGAGTGACAAATTAAAATACATATTGATGCTTATTTCCTTTTTTTCCCCAGAGAAATACTGAAAAATCTTTGTTTCTATGTCACTTTACATAAATATTGGTCCATTCCATGTTTAGGTGTCATAACAGAGCAGCAGGGTTTTCACTGTTACCTCAACTAACACAGGTCATGTTGCTAACAGTGGCCCTGCTGCATGTTACATCACCTCCTAATGTTTGAAGTTTGCTTCTCCTGCGAGCATCTCATCTGGGCAAAGTACACAGAGGGGGTGAGGATGAGGAGGGGTGTGTGTGTGTGTGTGTGTGTATGTGTGTATGTGTGTGGTGTTTGAGCATAAACAGGGGGCTTCAGGTTAAGTTCCCATGGTAACTGAGAGGCGTCTCACTGTGTGCCCTAGGCTTCATCTGTGTGAGTGCGTTTTTTTTTTTTCAGTGTGTGTGTGTGTGTGTGTGTGTGTAGCCAATTATCCTGGTGGTCTGTTATCTCTGCTGGGAGAGGTTTACATTATCACCCTGACAGCCTGCTGGTCATTGGTCAGGTGAACGTCTACAGATGGTTATATCATATACAACAGCGGAGGGTTTAGGGAGGGTGGTCATGGGGGGTGTGGACTGATCGAAAGAGACACGATGAAACCCTGACTGACCGACGAACAGCCAGACAGGATGAATAGATGAGCCAGGGAGAGAAGACAGTGACGGAGGAATGGAAAGAGGAGATAAAAGCTGGTTTCTGTCAACAAACAGGGAGACTTATGTGAACCATAGATAACATGTTACCTAACATTACAGTAAATGACAGTCGGCAGGGCATTTATTGCATCCAGAGCTGATGTACACGGGGATCCTTAAACTTTTATGATTATTTCTTTTGATTATGCATTAAGTGTACCAATCACAACTGTTAATCAAATCTGTTAGTACTGTGTTTATAGTCAGTTCAGCACAACATAAAGCAGATATACTTTGATAGATTTGTACAGCATTAAAAAGTACATCCTCACTGGTCAACCCTGGCCCCGTCCCTTCCTTTTTCCTCACCTGTATGTTCCCTCTGAGGTAGCTGATTATGTTTCAGGCCTTAACTTTTGAAATGCAGTTTAGCTTTTTCTTCTGTTTTTGTGTTGAGAAATTTTTTTTTCTGCCTGTCTACTTCTGCATATCTGACAACTTGGTTTAAAAGCTTATATATATAACATTTGTCTGGTTTCTTTAGCAAAGAGACTTAAACACAACTCACCCACTCTCTTCCAGCAGACGCTTGTTTGTGGGGTGAGCCCGGACAAGTGATGAGGAAAAAATTTCAGCATGTTTATAAAAATTAAACCTGAGTACGGATGCAGCTATTGAATATTTTAGTATTTGAGTATTCTACGAAATTTTTCGATTAATCGAGTAATCGAATAAAACATTTTTTTTTTGTGAAAGTACAATTATTGACATACAAGACAAAATATGACATTTAATGTTGTGAGGCAGGTTCGTGGTGAGGACCCAGATGCAGACACAGAGACTGAGATCAACTTAAAGAGACTTTTAATGTCCAAAAAAGGGGAGATAGTGCAAACAGAGGAAGTCCGAAGGGCTGGTTGGCTGGCTGTCGTGTGGGCTGGAGACACTGCAGGAAAAAACCAGAGGAGACAGGAGTTAATAAACATGAAAATAGTCACTGGGAGCAAAGTTCTGAAGATTATACCACGAGGAAGGCCAGGAGACACGTCTGTACCGCTAGGAAGGGTAGACAATACTCAGGCGCTGAGACTGAGGGCTGCAGGCTTCTTAAAGTCCCTTAATTGGAGATGAGGAGCAGGTGTGTCGTCTCACTCAGCCTCAGCACCGGGGGAGGGGAGGAAGCTCTGGAAAAGAGTACAGCCAGACCAGGCAAACAGGGAAAAACAGGAAGTCCAGCCAAAATAAAACAGGATGAGGAGGCGTCTCACCACAGTACCCCCCCCTTAACGAACGCCTCTTGGCGTTCTGCCGGGCTTGTTGGGGTGGGCAGCGTAGAACTCTTCCAGGAGTTGGCGGTCCAGGATGAGGGAGCGGGAGATCCAGGAACGTTCCTCTGGACCGTAACCCTCCCAGTCCACGAGGTATTGGAAGCCTCACCCCCGAGGCCGCACGTCCAGGATTTTCCTTACAGTGAAGGCAGGGTGGTCATCAATCAAACGGGGGGGTGGAGGGGCGACGGAAGGAGGGCTCAGGGTGCACGAGGCAACAGGTTTTAACAAGGAGACATGGAATGTGGGATGAATTTTAAGAGATGAGGGAAGTTTTAATCTCACCGCTGAAGGGTTGATGATTTTCTGGATAGGGAAGGGACCAATGAAGCGGGGGGACAGCTTGCGGGACTCGGTCTGCAGGGGAAGGTCACGAGACGATAACCAGACCATCTGACCAGGACGATAGTCTGGTGCTGGAGAGCGGTGAACGTCAGCCGGGCGTTTGTTGCGCTCGGCCGTGCGGGTGAGTGCGGCCCTGGCCGATCTCCACACCTCCCGTAGACACCCAATGTGCTCCCTCACCGACGGGACGGCCACAGGTTGCTCCTGTTCGGGAAACAGGGGGGGCTGGTACCCAAAACAGCACATGAAAGGGGACATACCTGTGGCTGAAGAGGTGAGGGAGTTATGGGCGTATTGGATCCACGGGAGGTGCGTACTCCAGGACGCTGGATGATGGGCCGCCACACACCGCAGGGCCGACTCGAGGTTCTGATTAGCCCGCTCCGTCTGGCCATTGGTCTGTGGGTGGTAACCCGAGGAGAGGCTAGCTGCTGCGCCCACTGCCTGGCAGAAAGCTCTCCAGACCTGAGAGGAAAACTGAGGACCACGATCTGATACGATGTCACGGGGAATCCCATGTAATTGAAATACATGAGTGACTAGGAGGTTAGCAGTTTGAAAGGCAGATGGGAGCTTGGGTAAAGGGACATAGTGAACAAATTTGGAGAATCTGTCAATGATGGTGAGTATGACTGTGTTACCTTCAGAGGGAGGGAGACCAGTGACGAAATCTAAGGCTATGTGGGACCAGGGGCGTGAAGGCACAGGCAGAGGACGCAGCAAGCCAGCCGGAGGTTGGTGGGAGGCTTTGCTTCGGGCACAGACGGAGCAGGCAGCAACAAACGCCCGTACGTCCCGGACCATCCCCGGCCACCAGAACCGCTGCTGGAGGAATTGGAGGGTGCGTTGAAACCCGGGGTGGCAGGTGAGCTTGGAGGAGTGCCCCCACTGTAGGACCTGAGAACGTGCGACCTCAGGGACGAACTTTCTGTCCGGCGGGCCGGTTCCAGGGTCTGGGTGGTTCCGGAGGGCCTGGTCCACGATGGTATCGATCTCCCAGGTGGCGGAGCCAATGACACAGGAGGCGGGGAGGATGGTGTCTGGTTCACGGGAGTCCGGGGTATCCGAGGCGTGGATCCGAGAGAGGGCGTCTGGTTTGAGGTTGCGGGAGCCGGGACGATAGGAGAGGGTGAAATTGAATCTGCTAAGGAAAAGGGACCAGCGGGCTTGCCTGGGGTTGAGGCGACGAGCGGAGCGGAGGTATTGCAGGTTCTTGTGGTCTGTCCAGATTAGAAACGGTTGGGGTGCTCCTTCCAGCCAGTGTCTCCATTCTTGCAGTGCCCACACGACAGCCAGTAATTCACGGTTTCCCACGTCATAATTTTGTTCCGTGGCTGAGAGTTTCCGGGAGAAAAAGGCGCAAGGATGAAGCTTCTGGGTCTGAGAGTCCCTCTGTGAGAGGACGGCCCCTACTCCAGAGTCCGAAGCGTCGACCTCCACCACGAACTGAAGCGAGGGATCTGGGTGTTTGAGCACCGGGGTGGAGATGAAGAGGGATTTGAGATGATGAAAGGTGGCGTCTGCTTCGGGGGTCCAGGAGAATGGAACCTTGAGGGATGTGAGCCGGGTGAGGGGAACTGCCACCTTACTGTAGTTTTTAATGAACCGTCGATAGAAATTAGCGAAGCCGAGGAATCGCTGGAGGTCTTTGCGGGAGGAGGGAGTGGGCCAGTCACGGACAGCACAGATCTTTTCTGGGTCTGGGCGTAGCTCCCCCTGGGCGATGATGTAGCCAAGGAAACTGACGGAGGAGGCGTGGAACCTGCACTTTTCGGGCTTCACGAAAAGGCGGTTTTCGAGGAGGCGCTGAAGGACGAGTCGGACGTGCTGCTGGTGTTCCTCCAGGTTTCAGGAGAAAATCAGGATATCGTCCAAGTAGACAAAGGCGAACTTGGTAATCATGTCACGGAGGACATCATTAATGAGGGTCTGGAACACAGCAGGGGCGTTGGTGAGGCCAAAGGGGATAACCAGGTATTCGAAGTGGCCCATGGGTGTGTTAAAGGCAGTCTTCCACTCATCCCCCTCCCGGATGCGAACCAGGTGATAGGCATTCCGGAGGTCCAGTTTTGAGAAGATGGTGGCTTGACAGAGAGGTTCGAAGGAGGGATCAATGAGTGGCAGGGGATATTTGTTTTTAATGGTGATGTCATTTAATCCACGGAAGTCAATGCAGGGACGGAGAGAGGAATCTTTTTTCTTCACGAAGAAGAAGCCAGCAGCAAGGGGAGAAGATGAGGGTCGGATGAGTCCAGAGGTCAGGGAGTCTTGAATGTATTCCTCCATGGCCTCTCGTTCGGGCCGAGAGAGGTTGTATAGTCTACTACTGGGAAGAGGTGCGCCAGGGAGCAGGTCTATGGCGCAGTCATAGGGGCGATGAGGAGGAAGGACAAGAGACTGCTCCTTACTGAACACCATTGCCAGGTCATGGTAAACGGGGGGAACCGAGGTGAGAGATGGCGGTGGAGATGCTGACCTCTGTCGGTGGATGTAGGGATTGGCGGAGCGGAGGCAGTGGGAGTGACAGTGAGGGCTCCAGGCGGAGATTGAAGATGTGGACCAGTTAATCTGAGGGTTGTGGATTTGCAGCCAAGGGAGTCCCAGTACCAGGGGAGAGTGAGGAGAGGGAAGCAGGAACAGCCGGATGTCCTCCCGATGGTTACCGGAGAGGATGAGGGTGAGGGGAGCAGTGCGGTGTGTAATGGAGGCTATTACTCTGCCATCGAGAGCGGTGACCTTACGGGGAACCGGGAGTTCCTCCAGGGGGAGCTGAAGCCGCGCTGCCAGTCCGGTGTGAATGAAGTTATCGTCCGCCCCAGAGTCAATGAGGGTTTGGAGGGAAGTGGATTCCTTTCCCCAAAGGAGACAGGCAGGGACTGTGATACGCCTGGGGGAGCTGGAGGTAGAGGAGGTGTGGCTGATTTGCATGGGTTCTCCAGTGGAGGGCGTCGGAGCCAGAGGAGCTGAGGGCTGCAGAGGAGACCCGCTGACTGCAACAGAGGAAGGGGAGTCTATTCTAGGGACCAGGGAATGGATTTCCTTCTCCCTCCGTCTCTCCCTGAGGCGATTATCTATACGAATAGCGAACGCTATTAGCTCCTCAAGGGAGGAAGGCTCATCTCGAGCCGCTAGCTCGTCTTTCAAATGTTCTGAGAGACCCCGAGTGAATGCCTCTTTTAACTCGAGTTCCCCCCACCCACTCTCGGCCGCCACTGTACGGAACTCAATGGAGTAATCCGCCACTGACCGAGAGCTCTGGGTGAGGGAAAACAACCGTTTGGTGCGCTCTGGGCCCTCGACTGGAAAATCAAATATTCTACGGAGCTCTTCTGAAAAACGGGCGTAAGAGGCGAACAGAGGTGAGTCCCTATCCCAGACGGCCGTAGCCCACTTCGCGGCCCTACCTCTTAACAAATTGATGGTGTAGGCGATCTTAGCTCGATCTGAGGGGTAACTAATGGGCTGTTGGTCAAACACTAAGGCGCATCGGAGTAGGAAACCTCTGCAGCCCCCAATCTCCCCAGCATACGGCTCAGGAGGAGGGACATAGGGCTCTTTGAGGATAGTGGGTGGTGGAGGAGGCGAAGAGGGGAGCGTACTCACAGAGGGGGGAGATCCTGTTTGCTGCGGTGGAGGCCGAGGGAGTCGTTGCTCAGCCAGCTGCGACATTTGAACGGAGAGGCCATGAACTGACTGGTAGAGACTCTGGAGCATATCCTCATGTTGGCCAAGCCGCATGCCGAGCTTCTGGACGGCTAGCTGAACTCTGTCTAGGTCTGCTGGGTCCATTTTCCAGGCCTGAGTATTCTGTTGTGAGGCAGGTTCGTGGTGAGGACCCAGATGCAGACACAGAGACTGAGATCAACTTAAAGAGACTTTTAATGTCCAAAAAAGGGGAGATAGTGCAAACAGAGGAAGTCCGAAGGGCTGGTTGGCTGGCTGGCGTGTGGGCTGGAGACACTGCAGGAAAAAACCAGAGGAGACAGGAGTTAATAAACATGAAAATAGTCACTGGGAGCAAAGTTCTGAAGATTATACCACGAGGAAGGCCAGGAGACACGTCTGTACCGCTAGGAAGGGTAGACAATACTCAGGCGCTGAGACTGAGGGCTGCAGGCTTCTTAAAGTCCCTTAATTGGAAATGAGGAGCAGGTGTGTCGTCTCACTCAGCCTCAGCACCGGGGGAGGGGAGGAAGCTCTGGAAAAGAGTACAGCCAGACCAGGCAAACAGGGAAAAACAGGAAGTCCAGCCAAAATAAAACAGGATGAGGAGGCGTCTCACCACATTTAACTTAATAATGAACAAGGAACACAGAACAAGCTTGTGCGTTAGCGGATTGCAATGCTCGTAAGAAAGCTAATTATGATATTAGCTTTCATCATGTCCCTAAAGACATTAGTGTCCGAGAGCTGGACAGCTTCTATGTTACCTGCTTCTGCTACTATACCGTCAATGTTAAGCTGCAAGCTAGCATGAAGAGGCGCATGCAGAGCAGCACTGTCTCTGCTCACGACTTTGCTAATGAGCTACTGGAGTGAGATGTGTCACCTTGAAAATAATCAATGCGAAACAGTGACGATTTGAGCTTCTAAAGGCAGAGAAAATTCCTCAATCTTTTTTTGTAATCAAGGTACTCACGGAATTGTTACAGCCCTAAACCTGACATGAAAATGGACAGGAGTTTTAGAGTGTAATATGAGCTGAAAAGAGCTCATATTTCTCTTTCGAACTTGCACCAATTCCAGACAATGAAAGCTGATTCTGTGTAAAGGCCTATAGAGACGATTTGAGCTCATGCTGAAAGATGTATTTTGAGTAAGTTGTTGGTCCATACCTGAATGATCATGAAATCAGCCGGGATCCTGGGATAGCTCGCCTGTCAGAACCTGGCCAGCTTCAAGTCTCCCAAACGGTGCTGTAGACTGCGTTTCCCTGTGAAGAGGATGACGGCACTGTAATGGGTTTGTTTTTAATGTGAAATCTTCGAATGGAACTATAACTGTGATTTATTGTTATAGTAAAAAGAAGTTGATATGGTTTCTTGGTGTTAAGTATCAGCATTCACAAGCTGCACCAGTTGACACAGTATGTGTTTGTTGGTCAAAGTGCACAGTGTTTTTGTGGCTCAAATACAAAATGTCCAGACGGCAGACAGTCCCATAATCTCAGGTGACGGTGTAGGAGGTTTTATTAATCACTTTATTACTCCTCCACATCATAAACAAAGTTTAGCTCGAGCTTCAGTGACCAAACGTTTCCCCTGCTGCTAACAGTGACTTTATTGAGCTCTGTTGTTTTTCTTCTCTAAACTTTTTAATGAGGTAGTTTGGGGGCGAATTCAACATTTTGACAGCATTCATACTCCTCACAGCCTCACATTATGTAACCACAGCAAGTTTATAGATTTCAAAAACTCAACGGGGAGAAAGAGTCACTCTCACAATTACACATGGGGGATATGATGTCTTTACAGTTACAACAGGAGAAAGAGAAGTGTGCAAAGGTGGGAATTACAAAATATGTCAGTGTGCTTCCTTTGAACACCCCCTCGGTTATTTACAGCAGCAGCTGTATACAGTAACAAAGACGACTGCGAGAATAAAATCAGACCTGAAAGTCTCTCAATAAGCAGAATAAATTGTTCAGAATTTAAAGGTAGAACTGCTGTTTTTATCAAGTCATGTTCAGTTACAGTAAAATCTAGATAGAAAGAAAAGGATACTAGAGGAACGTTTTCCCACTTTCCAACTCGGCTTGAATTTGGAACAAATCTCATCCACATTTTATCTCTCTATTGAGTTCTTTTTTCCCCCTTTCCTAATGCAGATACTGATTAGGATGGCATATGGCAATCAAGTCATGAATATGCACAGATTGGGTCATGCACATTCATACCTTTTTCTATAGAGTGTGCCACCATAATGATGTAAAACCCTCTGTGAAAACCCTTCATTTCAGCTAGCCATCTGAGGATAAAGATAGATAGATAGATAGATAGATAGATAGATAGATAGATAGATAGATAGATAGATAGATAGATAGATAGATAGATAGATAGTAATATATATAAACTTCTCCCTGTTTTCTAACATCTTTGTCTTTGTCTCTTGGTAGATAAAATAGCTATGACTTTCCCTCATGATCAAAAGAACCTGTAGGAGCAACCTCCCAGGATATTCAACTAAGTGCGTCAGGAAGAAAAAAGCTAAGCAGTGAAATGGATTCTCCAGGAAAGAGACCATTTCAATGACCTCCTTTGTGGGCGTTTCCTTGAAAGGGCTGCTAAGGAGACATATCCTAACACTGTCCTAATGATGCTGGCTATTAGCATTTGAAAATTTGCTTCCATTCATCGTAAACTACGCACAGATTCATCGCCTCCTCAAGACATTCTAGATCAGCAAGCACAACAGAAGCGGCAGCGGCGCATTATTTTAAATGATATGAGGCGTGATATTAATATGACAAAATCATGCCTGTAAATAAACTGAACAGTGGTTTACTATAAAATCAATACAAATTGCTCTGTGTTGATTTTGTTGAAAAGGCTTTTAACATTGAGACTTCAAGTGAATAGCTAAAGCATGTGGGCATCTTTCAGCATTTTTGGATGCTTACAGCTGTTTTTAGTCTGCCAGAACTGTAATAGTCTATGCTTAACGGTGACATAAGTAAGGAACCCATACTAGATCATATCATTTCAAAATAAAAATAAAAACATCATTGAAAGCCAAAGTGTTAATCGTGGGCATTGTGGCACTAATCCTACGAAAGAGGATTAGGGAACAAGAAGAGAAAAAATAATTACAGGAGGGAGATTTTTTTAATTTCCATTTCGACATTAAAGTAGAAATTTCAAGATTAAAGTCGAAGTTTAAAAAAGTCGAAATTTCGACTTTATTCGTGTTGACTTTGATCTCAAAATTTCGACTATAATGTTAAAATGTTAATGGTATTAGTTTTCAAATCTCAACATTATTCACGACATTTCCTAATGTGGATATTTTGTGATGTCGCAATTTCGATTTTAATCTTGAAATTTCAACTTTATTGACGTGATTTCGATTTTTTTAATGTCGAAATTTCGACTTTAAAACCACACCTGCCAACATTTGGGTTATAAAATGCAGGAGATTTTTGCAGCTCGGCCAAGCAGTTTTGGGGTTACCTTGTCTGGTGGATATGAGCTAATTATGACAGTATTTGTAATTAAATTGCTCATCCAAATAAGTCTAAGTGAAGCTGAACACCTTTTGGGTTTTGTTTTAACAATAACAAATGGTAATAAAAAAAAGTAAATTACGATATGCCTTGAACTTATTCAGTCCACTAATGTAAGTGTTGAAGTCCTCATATGTTTTACATGCTCTACAGTACTCTTTTATCTGAGGCTGCCCTGAACGCATCACTCCGAGACGGTGCCAGACTGTCAACGTAAGTATTAAATCTCACGTTTGTTTTCCTTTCATTGAAGTGTTCATTTAGCAACAAACACTGCTTAAATATAATTTACAGCTTAAACCGACCTGAATCATCCCAAACTGTAAAGTCAAAGTACCAATCCAGTGTCTGTGAGGCTCAGCAGAAACACACGACAATCTTCAGAGGTCTGGAAACTTTGGACAAATATAGTGATCGGATTCATGAATGAACGTGGACCATCAAACTACGGGAGATTCCTGAGAGAAATGACAATATGGGAGGTGGGAGGAAGATAGGTCTGAAACACGGGAGAGTCCCGGGAAAAACGGGAGTGTTGGCAGGTATACACCCAGGGGTGAAAGTAAGTATGTGATGCGATGTATGTAGACTACATTTGCTTACCGTGTTGCCGCACGTCAGTCTGCACTCTGCATTGTAACCGTAGTAATCCAATAGGACTATGCTGCTTGCTAGTGAGTCGTATTTACTTCCGCAAACAAATTTCAAAAGCGGGAACGCGCTCAGGGCGAACTTTTGATTGGACGCTGGTTGCCTAGGTGCTGGGGCTCGCCCCCCGCCTTTTGCAAGAGGGAACTTTTAAAGAGACAGCTGCTTAAATAAAACAAAATGCAGAAAAATTTTGATTTTATGTTCAAGAGAAAGAGAGATGCAGCAGATGATGATACTGTGGCATCAGAGTCAGCACCTTCTTAAACTTGGGTGTGCTCCACTTGTACAAAGCCTACGGGTACAATACCTGTAAGAACCTTATCCTACTTTCAACCCTGAATACGCCATCATTGCTAATACGACTGAAACCCCAACCTTAACCCCCCCCCTCTCTCCCTATTAATGTTAGAAAGCCTTGTTAAAAAGAAGATGAACTACTGTCATGTCAGCTGGGTTGACCTCTTACTTGAGATGTTTGATTGTTTCCCTGTCCTTGCTTGTATGATGTAATTTTTGAGGTAAGCGAGTAGATTTATAGAGGGAAAGCTGTGAGGAAGCCTGTGAATACAAGAGCAGGGGGAGAAGGTGGAGAAATAATAGACATATATCTTCTGAGAGATACAAATTTAATAATGAAGTCTAAATATTGTGTTTTATCATAAAAACTCATACTCCACGGTCATATTGCAAAGCTGACTGAAAAGCAGTCACAGGAAAGCACGCTGGCGTCTATTAGCGTGAACTCTGTGGTTCTCTGTTCCCTGGAGGCTCTTACTCACATCATCAAAGCAAAACTGCTCCAATTTTGATCAAAGTCCAAATAAGTGGGGATATTGAGAGACCGTCTGGATCTTGTTGTACGCTGCATATTTCATTAGTGCAAGCAAACCAATTATTAGACTCGAAATTGACTGTGCCTTCAATTTTACCCTCATATGGAGTGAGTATTGGTATTTCCAGGATCCCATCTGTGAAATATGCATAGCTTATTGAACCATTCTGGGTAATACTACATCAATACGCCATTCATCTGTCAATGTTCATGTGAAAACAAGCGACAAATGGTCTGTATCTGGCCACTTATATATTGATGGGGCCACATTTGAGGAGTTAGACCGTGAGAGAACAATCTTGCCAACCCTAACTCAAGCCTCTCTGAATCATGAACCAATCAATACAGCTTCGTCTAACATACGGTTACATAACATACCCTTTCTGCAGGACTGCAACCCCCCCCACCCCCAGGTCTCACATCGATGGATGTTGATTATTTCATGTCAAAAAGTCTTTCCTGTCTGATCTCCATTTTTATTACCTTTCCGTTCAGCCCGGAGAAGAAAACGAAAGATTCCTGGTTATTTGCGCTTTCATTCAATCTACAGGTTTCATCACCAGGCCACCGTTTTTCTGCCTGTCTGAGCACCAGGGGCAAAACTAGAGTTCATGAAATACTGCTCAGATGGTCCTCATTACTGGAAGACCCTAGCAGCTTCAAGTTATGTTCCACTGCTTGAGTTTCCTGCAGCTGGTTATGTGTAAGTGTAGTTATGTAACTGAAGTGATTTATGTAATACCTTTCAACCAGACTATTGAACGGGCAACCCTGAATCGTATTTTCTTTGTAGTAAAAGTATGACCTCGAAAACCGTAGAGTTGATGAGATGATGTTGAGCAAACTGAGGAGATGGTCTTTCCCACAGAACATTGCAGTGATCAGATAACGTTCCGTGGCGTTACACCCTCATCACTTTATTTACAGCAGGGTTTGGATCCCTCTTTCTCAAATAAATGACAACTAACAACCTAAAGATGCGAATTAACGCTCTCTTAGTGATCCAGATCATTTGGCTCAGCAAGATCTTATACGCTTTTTTCAGCTCCTGAATGATTTGTCATACTCTTTTTCACATACAGAACTACCTGTGGTTGAGTGGCTTTATCTACCAGTCTTCTCAGTCACATTCTTTACACAACCTAATCTCCATTTTTTAGATAAAAATACTGCCAAACCGTGCCATGCCATGAGTTTCTCTCTGACATATGTACCTGTTTACATTAAGGTAGAAGAGCATTGCAGCAGATAATCGCTGTTAACCCAGCTGATCGAGAGTTGCTGCTTTACAGCATAGATATACCAGCATTTTGGGTGGGCCATATGGATACACAGTATATGCATAATTC